GATAACGGCCAGTCAACAGTCAATGACTGGCTAAAAATCCCTGTTGACCAGTCACTTTATATCCTCATCAGTCATCGCACACAGGGACGCCGGAAGATCGATAATTGGGGGGGCAGATATTCATATATTCGTGTTCACAGACTGTAAAAACAATCGATTTCAAAAGAAATTAATTGGGCAGAACAGGAATATATGAATATCTGCCCTCCCAATTATCGATCTTCCGGCGTCCCTGATCGCACACAAATTCACCTTCATACAAATAATGTGATTGTGAACGTCTTCAGTGTTTAAAACTTGAAACAATACATATGAGATGTCATGGAGATGTCCAATTTGAATGAGGCAGTACTTGCACTTCTTGCCAGTTTCTACCTTCTGGATTTTGATTATTCGCAGATGCAGGAAATTGGTTGGAATGTTTTTCAGCATTAGATTTTTAAGACACAAATGTGTCACAAGACATTGCCAATTTGTTTAAGTCGACGATGACAAGCTACCAGAGTTTCAAAGTTGATATGCAATAAGCTGGTACTAATACAGTATGTACTGTATGATGAATATCATGTGGTATATATTTTTCTGTATGAATATCATGTGGTATATATTACTATATGATGAATATCATGTGGTATATATTTATATATATTTATATACAGTATAAACTATTGCATGCAAGGTGCCATGTATTCTTTATAATTGCTTCCAGTCTATAATCAATATATCATTACTATAACTTGTTGATCCTTATAAAATAAAAATATACCTCTTCCTTAAACTAAAAAATTTTAAAGAGAAAATATTTATAAAATAAGAAATTGAGTTTTCTTATTTTAAGAAATATCTCATGATTTTCTTAAGATTTTCTTAAGAAAAAAATTCTTAAGAAAATTAGTAAGAAAATTTTCTTACCAGTCTCCCAAGAGAATTTGGACTTATTTTAAGAAAATTTTCTTAAAATAAGAAATTTTAAAGGAAAAAATATTCTTAAAATAAGAAATTGGTATTCTTATTTTAAGAAAAATCTCATGATTTTCTTAAGAAAAAAATTCTTAAGAAAATTAGTAAGAAAATTTTCTTACCAGTCTCCCAAGAAAATTTGGACTTATTTTAAGAAAATTTTCTTAAAATAAGTTTTTTTTTTCTTAAAATAAGAAAGTGATTTTTTGCTGTGCAGGGACGCGTTCTTTTCCGTACATATTTCTATACGACTTCTTAAAATCACGAATTCCAGCAAAACAAAAATTGACCCGAGTTAGGAAACATTAGGTGAACAGTTAAGTCAGCAGAACACTATATGCCGTTTGCTGTGACCTCGAAAAGTGCCTAGAAAACGATTTTCATTAAGCATATCTTGGAACTGAAATGTTTTTATGAGAACTAACACTTTCCAACACGCTGAGTTCAAATCCGAAAACTTCCCGCACCGTAGACCCACAGTTTTCTCACAAACTGCTATTTTATCTTCACTAATTTCACAACAAATTTTTTCATTGTTCAACGATAATTTTTTCATTGTTCACAAATGACTAATTCCTATGAACCAGTTTGCTCGAATTATTTTGAGTTATGCAATTTTAAGCGTGTTGGACGTAAACAACATATCTTGTCTACAACTTTGGGAAGGTACCGATATCGCTTTGTAAAATCTTCAGTTCTGGCTGTATCTCTATAAAATCACAAGGACGTCAATCTTAAGTCGTTGGGCTATATCTATGGGATGAAAAATAATTCCTTACATGCGATTAAAATGTTTTGTACAACGATGTAAAACGGTAATCTTATGGAATGAGTCAGCATTTCCATTTCCAACACAGTTTCTGAGATGTAATTCAAGAGGTAACTTATCATTGCATTTGAACTATAATATCAGTTGGTGTTATTATGTGAATATTATAAGCGAATATTATTGGAAAAAAAAAAGGGCCGCCATATACGTTGAAATCACCAAATAAACAGTTTATGTACACATTTCTCCACTTCGTCGAAAGTTTACAGAGCAGATTTTATACCTTGGCACTGGTCTTTGTCTTTGATATGAACATTTATTCTCCCAAGTCTTCTACTAGCAACCAATCGACAATATTTCACTTTAGCGTTGTCTTTGCCGTTACTTTGGCTTCGCACTACTTTTGTTTTAAATACCTTGATCGCGTTAAATTAGTTATTTTTCAGGCCAGTGATATAGCCAAAAGACTTAGCATTAACGTCCTTGTGATTTTACAGAGATATCGCTAGAACTGAGGATTTTAGAAGGCGTTATCTTACCTTCTCAAAATTGTAGACAAGATATGTTGTTTACGTGCAACACGCATAAGATTACCTAACTCAAAATAATTCGGGCAAAACCGGTCTTTTGTTAAAAGGAAGACTGGTTAATAGAAATTGGTCGTTTTGAGTGATATAATCGTGTGGCGTCATCGATCCGTGTCGTTGAACAACGGAAAAAATTTGTTGTGAAATTAGCTAAGATAAAATAGCATTTTGTGAGAAAACTGCGGGTTTACGGCGCGGAAAGTTTTCGGATTCGAACTCAGCGTGCTTGAAAGTGTTAGTTCCCGTAAAAATATTTCAGTTCCAAGACATGCTTAATGAAAGTGAACGATATCAGGACGCAGCAAACGGCCTACTAGTTGACAATGGCAAATAGGTGTTCGATTTTTAATTAGTTTCAATTGTAGTTATGTATGGTATTTTAAATTTTATTTCAGTGGAGAAGACCATGCAGTGAAACTCAAAAGAAATCTTCATTCAAGGTAAACAATCACTTTATTTTTTACAGGATTAAATTAGTTTTCAGTTGCCATGCATGAAAATAGATACTTCCCGAATTTGCCATTCCGAAGTTGATGAGAGGACTGGGGACGAGTGTTAAAAAGTGCCCAAATTAAGAAATGAACCAAATCACTAAAAACACCACCTCACAATTAGTAAGTATACAAAGTTTAAAGACGTTTACATGAATACCCTTCGAAAAATAAGCTTTCGAAAATTGTGAAATTACTCGGAGTTAAAAGATTGTTTTTGGGACGCGCGTCCCAAAAACAAAAATTACAATACATTTCATAGTAAATATCGCGATTTTCGAAAGCTTATTATTCGAAGGGTATTCATGTAAACGTCTTCAAACTTTGCATACTTACTATTTTTGAGGTGGTCTTTTTGGTGATTTGGTTCATTTCATAATTTGGGCACGTAGTCCACTCATCAACTTCGGAATGGCTAATTTGCTGGCTGACAACGAAATCTATACATATTTTCGATGGTGATATTACTGATATAAACTCAAACGGTCTGTGTCAGCGTGGTAGTGACAATAGCCGACTTGAGATGAGCTAAATCTAGTACGCGCACGTGACAAAAAGACAGTTACTTATGTTTTCTTTTGGATTTGTTACCAGTTTAAGTTTGTTTTTCATCTGTATCTTTCTTTAATAAGTTCTTTGTATGTTTGCATGGTGATAAAATATAATAGGTTTTGTTTGTGGAAACACCACGTAAATTTATTACTGCAAAGCTTTCGATCCGTAAGCCCGGATCTTCATCAGTGCTAATAATATCACAGAATAGAAACAGGACCAGAAGTGTCACTCAGACGATATTTTGTCCGAAATTTTACGAGTGCTGACGTGAAAATACGCCATCATATGACGCCATCCTGGAGTGCACACGGACGTTTTTCATAGGAAAACATAGGTACAAAGTGCCGGGTGCACTCCAGGATGGCGTCATAGCACGCAAAAAAATTTCGGACGTTTTCCTTCAGCCAAAACACATAAGAGTGACACTTCTGGTCCGGTATCTATTCTGTGATAATATGTGACTTGTTTAATTCACACGCTCTTTTTATATACAAAAGTGTCGTGATCTGTTGGCTCGCGTCATTTGAAATTTAATTAAACGGCACATCAACCACGTCATTCCAAACGTAGTGAAGTGATTCCATTTTATTTTCATGTATCTTTCTTTGTTGACAAAAAGAATCCATATTTTTTACCCGTGTTGCTGACACTGCCAATTTAGGGTGTGTTTTTTTGTCACGTCCGCGTCCTAGATTTACCACATCTCAAGCTCTTTAATACCACCAAAAGCTGCAGATTGAGATGTATTCGATTGCCTGAAAAATACAAGCGAAACTTCGATGTTTCGAGCGAAGGCCTTTAATTAACTCAAGAAAGTGTCCTTGAGTTTATAAGCTGGCAAGACTACAGTGATGTCACCTTTCCGTATGCTATAGCATGCAAATTAATCATCCCTCAAAATTTATTTACATCAAAATATTTTTTTTCTGTGTTGGTGTAATGTACTCAGGTGAATATGATGCTTGTGATGTTACTCTGAGTGTATATCCACACTGGGCAAGCTTGAAAAATATGCCTGTCCACGGAACGATCCAATCGAACCTACGACCTTTGGAATACTAGCCCAATGCTCTGCCAACTGAGCTACGCGATCTGGTCGGTTCGAGTATGTGATATTTCGGAACAGAATATTTCGGAACTTAGTATTCCAAAGGTTGTAGGTTCGATTCCCACCGTGGCCAGGCATATTTTTCAAGCTTGCCCGGTGTGGATATACACTCAGCGTAACATCACCAACATCACAGTGTTCCTGAAGTGACCGTGGAACATCTCCAAAATATTCAAAACACACCGCTGACGTGGACATCAAGATAGTTTCTTGCAAATTAAGAAATGACTGGAGTACTGAATATAAAATAGTCAGTCGAAGAAAACTATTTTGGGAGGAAACGCAGAAGAAACTGACACTTTTATAATTATCCAAACACGTGTGGGTGTGTATGAGCACGCACGCATGATAACTATGGTCGGTGTAATAAGAGATACCTATATAGTTCTTCCTTTTCCCGGATGACAATTGCGGGGGATATCAAATTAATTTTATCTAACAGGAAACTCTCTCTTACAAACACCGCTATCACTTCCATCTTTTTTTGCGGTTTGCTCTTTGTTTGATTCAAACATTGAAAATATTTTCTTCAAACATAATTATATACATGCTTGCACATTATCTTGCGCATTCTGAGTTTAGGGTCAGGGGTGAAGACAGTCGTGTCTAGTGTTTATGAATGCTGACCCAAATCCTTACCCTGATCAAGACAAAACAGCAAGACATGAATCCACATCTCGTCTTCGTTCTCCTGCCTTCGTTCACAACAAATATTTTGGAAAAATTCGTTGTGAACTTCATTCCGAACGAAGGCAGAAGGACAAAGACGGGATATAGTTTCATGTCTCCCTGTTTTTTTCTGGGTCAGGGCAAGAATTAGGGTCAGTATTCATAAACAGCAACACACGGGAAGACACGTTGAACAACCACCAGTGACGTCCAACTCAGTATGCGCAAGATAATGTTCAGACGGCAAAAATTGTCAAGTACGTCTTCGTCTTCGTACTTCGTTGTCTTGCTCAAACTCTCTTATTGAATAGTGGTAGATAGCTACTTCAGAATAATTTATTCGTCCGCCAAGGCAGGAATCGAACCTGTGGCGGTCTTTGAATGACCAGCTCTCTGACCATGGAGCTCGGATTTAAAGGTCAATAGCAGTATCTCCGCAATTGGACAATTAAGGTAAAGGCATAACTAACAATTAAGGTAAAGGCATAACTAAAATAAGCTCACTGGCTTTGATTGGAAATTGAATAAACAACCTTTGCCAGTCGTTCGCGACTTACAATTTTCAGAAGTAGTTATGAAATTTGACTGATCAGACGACAGATGTAGTTCCGTTTCATAAATACCAGAAACTCTTGATAGACTTCAGTTTCATTATCAATTCACAATTTTCCAACATCCTGGCAATGAATGAGCGCACAAAGACTGAATCGTGAGATGATATGTTAATTGTGTATCAGTACAGTAACAATGTTTTGACACGTTCTTGTCAGAAACACACATTTCAATTTACAAGGACACATTTTTAAATTCACAAGGACACAAAGTGTGTCAAAATACACGCTTATTTATTAAGCCTGATATATACAAACGCTTAATTAATTAATTAATTAAAACATGCCAAACCCTTAATTGGCCACCATGGTTGAACATTATCCTAGCTGAAAATTTAAAAGTTTAATCAACTGCCATGTGCATGCCGTCTGCTATAGGAATGTGATGAATAGGCATAAATTGATTTAATAAACCACAATAACAAATAGAATTCCAAAATCGTGTCCGGCTTATTCTTTAAATTAACCGAATGACGGAATCAAGTTTTAATTTAAATATACGCGTTTCAATGAATTTTTTCCTTTTATGAAACATTACAAATTTACATTGCTTTATTTTTTCAGACTTTTCAGCCTTCAGGACTGTTCACATTGTTGCTTATAGTCGTGGTTCCGCCTAAGTGGGGGAGGGGGGGGGGACTATAAATGTAGCGTTACTATTCATTTTTACAGCGACTTGTGCAAAAATATTGTATATATAGGCAAAGATCGCCCACACATATGTTTTCCCAACATGGGTGGGAAAAATAAATATACTCGTGTCAAGTGTATTATTAGTAAGATTTAAGAGGCTATTATGACATTCCCACTTCAACTTTGTCTATAAATATATGGTTCACATGCATTGTTCTAAGTATATGGTTTGTCCTGCCGCACCTTGTCTTTCAATACGTGCAATTATCCCACAGATATATATTTTCTGCTTCTCTGTTAATCTCTCACTGTGTTCACAACTTCATAAGCAGATTGTGCTGTGTATTTAGAATAACTTCATGGGTGTGGCTGATTAAACAGATCACTTCATTTATCAGCGGAATGATGCCTTCCAATATATAATGCCCTCAGAGGAAACTTCGAACCACAGGACTGTGAACCACACTTACTCACTCATGAGCAAGTGGAGAAAAACAACACGGAAAATTTCTACATACCTCGCCTATGGCTACAAAATCAAAATTTAATTAATTCAATAAAAACTATAATTTTTGCAACTTCTCATGAATATACCAGAGGAAACTTGTAGATCAAAACAAGGAAGACTAATTCACTTCTTGAGTATAGGAAATTTTACATCACATGTCTGTGCCAGAATATTTCTCATAAAGTATATTGTATCAAAATCTATCAAAATCAGAGATTTTCAAGCTGAAATAAATTATATAGGTATAACCATACATACTTCAGTGAATGGAAAGGTCGCCTTAACTGTATCTAATTTCCATTAAGAAATCCTGCAAAGAGAAAATATTATATATATATATATATATATATATATATATATATATATATATATATATATATATATATATATATATATATATATATATATATATATATATATATATATATATATATATATATATATATATATATATATATTAAAGTCTAAACACAAGAAGGAAAAGAATTGACAAAGCAAGTGATAATTAGAACTTCTTGTTTGGTACTTGAAGCTTAAAAGAAACGGAAAGATCTTAAAAAATTGATTTCAATTCTTGTTTATTCTTCTAATTAATTCTCTATAGTTCGTATCAAAATAGATAAAAATAAAGGAAAAGTAAGGGATACATGAGGCCCAAGAAAAGGAAGGGGTTTGCCTATCTTATTTTAACCACATAATTGAACAACACGTTTTTCACATCGAGTCAGGAAATCATGAATTTGAGCGATAGACCGCCAAAAGCTTGTACATTGTATGCCTTGGCGTGGGGGAACTTGCTTTAACGGGAAAGATAAAAGAGTGATTTAAAGCAGCCATTGAGCCAATCACGTAAATGAATAAACAAAAAGAGAATTGAAAACTTCGTTAATTGAATTGGACACCAAACAGGGCGGTATCGAGCAAGTCACATTGTTGAGAAATAATCAAGTGTAGTTAATCAGCGTAAGACTGTAGCGGCAAGAACATTGGAGAGTCATTTATAACTCTGTCTAGTTATGATGTTCTCATTTATCATCCCTTTCATCGCTCTTTATGGAGGATTGGAAGCAAAATCAAACATGTCGGACATGTTGTATGTCTCTTCCTGGTTATGCAAACTGTTGTTACAACCTGTATTAAAATATTTCTCTCATCACTTTTTTCTTTCTTTACTCAAAGCGTAACCCGACCGCCGCCAACTTTCAGTGCAAAGATTGTGTGTAATATCTTCACAGATTTTACTGCGGAGCAAAGGAAGTTTTGTATGAAACATCCGCGCTTGACATCTGCTATTGCTAAAGGCATTGAAACTGGACTTCGTGAGTGTGAAAATCAATTTCAACATCACAGATGGAATTGTATATCAACTTATGAAATTGCGAGTTTTGGTCAAAACAGATCTGTCCGTAAGTTTTGTCTTGATCCTAATTATAATAATTATTAACAAGTGCTTGAGTTCATCATGTTCACACTCTCACACTATCAGCAGTAATTCCATCATAGGTTCTTTATTGATAATCGCATTACGATTAAATCTTTAGCTTAACTTATAACCGTTGATATTGTTACGGTGGGCCTACCTGAGCGAATTTAAACCAATTATCTAAGTTATAATTATCCTTAATCAGAGAATCGATTATCAATAACATATTGCGTTCAAACATGGTTTATAACCTCAGTTGTTTAGAATTTGAGATCCATGCACAGAGATGCAGTGACTATTTTATTAAAGTTGAACTATAGTTGTGAAGGGATTTTTCACAAAAGCAATAAATTAAAGTTTAACGCCATTAAGAGCACGACAATAGTTATCCGACCATTGCCGGGCATTTGTGATGTTTGGTTCGTTTAGGCATTTGGCTTTTACTCAGATTTATATAAATGAAAGTAAAGATAATGTTATTAAAAATTTGAACCAGTGTTTAGTTTGATGGGTGTTTTTTGTTCTTTACAGAGGGCACGAAAGAAGGAGCGTTCGTGAATGCTATTGTCGCAGCTGGAGCGGCTCACTCCGTGGCATTGGCTTGCGCAAGAAATAATATTACAGGTTGTATCTGTGCAACGAGTAACTGGGAGAACGGAGGATGTTCGAACAATATCGCACATGGAATTGAAACCTCAGAAAGGTTTCTTCAAGGATCTCGTGGTGCAAAAAGAAAGAGATATGAACTTCAAATCATGCACAACAGAGAAGCGGGTCGTCAGGTAAGCATATAAAAATGGGAACTAATTAATCGGCGCACGAGGGTTATTAATTTGCAACTAATCATATAGGCACACCGACCTATAAACTAATTTCAATGTACCGACCATTGTCTTGGTAAATTCAAAGAGAGCCTGTTGCTTCAAGTTTATGCGTCTTGTTTGTGCAGAGTATCGTAGAATTTGTTGTGTTATAAATTTGTCTAGTGAAGGTTCAGTTAAGACAATATGTAATCTAATAGTATGAGGAACAGGTATTAAGGGATACTTATTTCTATGATAGTATTTACAGGTTGAACCTTAAAGGCTTAATAAGTCTTTTGCCGACAGGAAAGTATTGTTAGGAACATAATAGCAATTAA